GACGCATTCCAGGAACCTCCTGGATTGCTTGTTGCCTGCCCTCTTTGTCCTTCCACAGATATCAGGGTGGTTGAAGTCCCCCATGAGGACCAGGGCTTGTGAACGTGAGGCTGCTCCTATCTGGCTATAGAGGGTCTCATCTGCTCGCTCCTCCTGGTCAGGCGGCCTGTAGCAGACCCCCACCATAATGTCACCTGTCCCTGCCCTCCCTTTAATCCTGACCCAGTTGGCTCCTCATCCATACCCAGGTGGAGCTCCATGCACTCCAGCTGGTCATTGACATAGAGGGCGACACCCCTGCCTGTCCTTCCTAAAAAGCCTGCATCCTTCCATTCCAACACTCCAATCATAGGAGCCATCCCACCACGTCTCCGTGATGCCAATAAGGTTGTAAACTGTATGCTCCAGGTGAGGCTCGACTCACAACCTGCTGGTCATTGACATAGAGGGCGACACCCCTGCCTGTCCTTCCTAAAAAGCCTGCATCCTTCCATTCCAACACTCCAATCATAGGAGCCATCCCACCACGTCTCCGTGATGCCAATAAGGTTGTAAACTGTATGCTCCAGGTGAGGCTCGAACTCACAACCTCGGCATTGCTCGGCTTTGTACTGCTATATAAGTACCGCGCGCTAACCGATTGCGCCACTGGAGCCCTATCAATCAACCTCATCCTGCTACGATTTTACATCCACTTACTTTAGAAACAACAAATTCATGGCTGTTTTTTTGGTGAGGGTCTAAACTCCACTAACTCATATAAAAACTTGGGAGACTTCAGATGGTTATAAAGAGCAAAGTTCTTAGTTCATAGGCTGAAATCAAGTAAAGCCGTACATTATCACTAGTACTGTATGATAAAAAAAATGATGCTAAAACTTGTAACTTTGATGTAGAAAACAATTACAAGTGAAAGAATGGCAGAACTGGTCTCCTTGCTTTATCTTAGCCTCATAAGAAAAACAGTAGTAAAAATACCTATGTGCCTGAGAAGTAACATCAACCATCAACAGCAACGTCACTTTTGAACCACCCACGAAAACTGCTTGTGATCCTAATGTCTAATTTAAAGAGAAAACAACCCTAGTCCCTCTTGATGTAAACTACTTTAAGATCATAAAGTAAAAATTAATTCATAATAGATTGGGGGAGGATGGAAAAAGAAAGAAAAACTAATGAAATGAAGCTGCCTTTTAAGAAATAGAATTTCATACTACTCATATCATTAGAGCCTTGCAAAAGCTCTGGAGGGTACACAAACATTTAACATACAAGAAACACAGGCACTTATGATTAAGCTAAAGAAAATTGAATGCTGAATGAATCTATTGCTTGTGCAAAATTATTTTCAGCTTCTCAACTATTTAAAATACATTGACAATAATCATTCAGCTATCACAATACTATTAACATTAGAAATGAGATGTGTATGTTCATTGTAAGTGTAAAGTAAGGTTCTCAAAGTGTACTGAAATCATAATCAGAGCTGCTAAATGGCTTCAATTCCCACCTGATATTCATATTCTGTGTAAGGCAGCAACTTGTCATCTTTGAAGGAGGTTGAAGAACCATTGTAAACAAGTGTGAGGTCTAAATTCACGTGGGCTTGAGTCGTTCGCCTTCTGTAAAGTTCATAGTATAAAATCTTCCCATTTGGCTGCTGTGGGCCAGTCCACAGGATGGAAGAAGTCGACTGGAAGCCCCCGGCTCTGGTCTGTATTTCTATGAGAGGGGCAGGCTGCACTGCCGGGGGCGCCTCCAGCGTCTGTACCGCTGCCCACTCACTGGAGGCACAACCCAGCTCTGTGCAAGCTTGGAGCTGTACTTCATACCTTTGGGAACACAAATCGGGAACACAAATCAGGAACAAAGTCATTAAAACATTGCAAATACAAATATAGACTGTGCATGAGATCTGGGGGATCTCTTTATTTCTCTTGTTCTTTGGCATTTTTTAATATGAAAACAGTTTGTATCAACATACAGATTATATGCTGTGCCTTGTACAGCAAAAAGGGAGAACGCTGTCTTCTGGGTTTTCATTTGTTGGTGTTTTTTTCAGAGCAGAGCTAACATCTGCAGGAGACAAGTGATCAAAATCGTTTTGATTTTGATGATATGAATCAAAATGTTGATTCATTGTTGGAGATGATTTGAATATCATTTGAGAGCTCTATTACTCTTCTCTCTTTGGATTTAGATTAGTTACATGTAAATAGTAGACAGACTTATCAACCATGTAACACACACAAATTATGCCTACACAAATATATAAGGAAAGGTCAGGTAAATAATCAAGAATTAGTGGGGAAGATGTTACTTCAGTATCAAGCGTGCTCCTTCTGTAGCCGAGTCTGGTACCCCCTCCAAAGTTTTAGCTTTCACTTAAAAACAAGTCACTTGTTTTCAACTCAAGGCTGCGAGCATGTTCCTGGTGTGACTCCATTAATCTTAGCTTAGCTACACTGTGAATGGGCTAGCTAACAGGTCTTTGGTCTCCCCACCCTGAACTTTGTCAACTAAAGCCCTATTTATTCTTGAATGCAGACATCTTGCGAAAGATACACAAGTACAAGACTGCAGGTTTTGGAGCCTATAGCAGAGTAGTGAATTGCCCCTTGTATTAATTACAACCAAAGTCAACCCTATGCACTTAGAATCATAGAATCATGAAGGTTGGAAGAGACCTCTAAGATCATTGAGTCCAACCGTCAACCCAACACCACCATGCCCACTAAACCATGTCCCTAAGCGCCTCATCTACTCGTCTTTTAAATATCTCCAGGGATGGGGACTCAACCACTTCCCTGGGCAGCCTGTTCCAATGTTTAACCACTCTTTCAGAAAAGAATTTTTTCCTCACGTCCAATCTAAACCTCCCCTGGCGCAACTTGAGGCCATTTCCTCTCGTCCTGTCACTTGTTACTTCGGAGAAGAGACCGACACCCACCTGGCTACAACCTCCTTTCAGGTAGTTGTAGAGAGCGATGAGGTCTCCCCTCAGCCTCCTTTTCTCCAGGCTAAACAACCCCAGTTCCCTCAGCCGCTCCTCATAAGACTTGTTCTCCAGACCCCTCACCAGCCTCGTTGCCCTTCTCTGGACACGCTCCAGCACCTCAACGTCCTTCTTGTAGTGAGGGGCCCAAAACTGAACACAGTATTCGAGGTGCGGCCTCACCAGTGCCCAGTACAGGGGCACGATCACTTCCCTGCTCCTGCTGGCCACACTATTTCTGATACAGGCCAGGATGCCATTGGCCTTCTTGGCCGCCTGGGCACACTGCCGGCTCATGTTCAGCCGGCTGTCCACCAACACCCCCAGGTCCTTTTCCGACAGGCAGCTTTCCAGCCACTCCTCCCCAAGCCTGTAGCGCTGCATGGGGTTGTTGTAGCCAAAGTGCAGGACCCGGCACTTGGCCTTGTTGAACCTCATACAGTTGGCCTCGGCCCATCGATCCAGCCTGTCCAGGTCCCTCTGCAGAGCCTTCCTACCCTCGAGCAGATCAACACTCCTGCCCAACTTGGTGTCGTCTGCAAACTTACTGAGGGTGCACTCAATCCCCTCATCCAGATCATTGATAAAGATATTGAACAAGACCGGCCCCAAAACTGAGCCCTGGGGAACACAGGGAACACTTCATCAAGGTGATATATAGCTGGTGTTACTATAAATCAAAAAATCCTGGTTTTATCATGTGCTTTTTAGGAAAAAAAACCCATGGGTTTGACTATCTGTTTAAACAAGATGGTTAAGCTATCTGCCAGCCCACTGAACCACCCTGCAGCATTTATTCAACAAATGAGGTCTTCCAGACTTACCTACTGTAGGGTTGTAGCTCTGCCACTATGTATGACCGTCTCACAAAGGAAACATGAGATGCATCGAAGTCAACAGTTTTCTTTCCTGTTTCAGCAGGCTTGTGGATCGAGATTGTGTAATTTCTAATGTCACCATTTACTTTGATAGGAGGATCCCAGGCCACCAAAATCTCCTTTGAGGACCATGCCTGCAACCTAGGAGGCAACATCCCAGACGGAGCAGAGGGGTTGGTTTTTATCTGAGCTGAGGGGCTGGTCACACTTCCTTGACTGTTATTGGCAGTGACAATGTAGCTGTACTCCATGCCTGGCATTAGGGTGAAATCAAGATACCGAGTTTCCAGACCTGAGTAAACAAGAACACCATCCCTCCTTAGCTCGTAGCTTGTGATTTTACCATTGGGGTTAGCTGGAAGTTTCCATGTGATTTCAATTGATTCTGAGCCCATGACAAGCAGCCTGGGAGCTTCCATATTTGACGGTGGGGCCTCCATGGTCATCACTGACTGGGATGTGCTAGATGTGCAGCCCCCCGCAGTACAGGCAACCAATGCAAAATCATACTGCGTGTAAGGCTGTAGATTAGAAACAAACATTTGCAAACTTTTGCCAGGATAATACTCTTCATTGTTTAATTTCAATATGTACTTGGTGATATCTCCATTTTGTATTTGGGGAGGTGCCCAAGATGCATTAATTTGAGTGGCACTAACAGCCTGCAGAGATGGTGGATCCACTAAGGCAGGAGCTGCTTCCAGCGTCTGTATTGCAGCTGGTTCACTGGTAGAGCAGCCTCCCATCGTACAGGCAACTATCGCATAACTGTACATCGAATAGGGCAGTAAGTCTTCATCCGTGTAGTTGAAAGTAGCGGCATCGAAGCTGAAAGGATAGAGAACATCATTTTTTAGCAGTCTGTAGGACTGAAGAATACCATTGGGCTGGGCCGGGGATGCCCACGAGATGAGGACTTTACGGGGGTTAACTGACACCAAGGATAACCTGGGGGCAGCGAGACCTTTTGGGCCAGTTTGACTGGTCTTTGCCACTGTCCAGGAGCTGTCAGCATAGCCTGCTGCATTCCAGGTGCGTATTTTATATTCATACCTTGTCCATGGCTGTAAACCTCTATCATTATATATGAATGTATTACTTTCAGTGTTATATTCTGTGAAAACAATTTTCTCGTCTTCTGTTGTTGCTCTGTACCCTGCAGCATTTTCTTTTGTGCATCTGTGAATAACTTCATAGCGAACTATTTTTCCATTTGGGTTAATTGGCTGCAACCAGCTCAGTTCAACGTTGGTAGCGTTCAATGCCTGGATTACAGGTGCCATCTGAGACGTTGGGGGTGCTTCATCTGTTTGGACTGGCTGGGGCAAAGAACGAGTGCAGCCTGCTGCATTGCAAGCCTCCAGCACGAGGGTATAAAGAGTGTACGGCTCAAGGCGCCTGAAGAGGAACTGGCGAGATAAACCACTGTACTCCAGGTTGTCATCGCTGAAAATATTGTAAGTCTGGTGAATAAAGAAAGAAAGAAAAAGAAAAAAAAGGCAGGGAGGGAAGAAAGGACAGAAGCCAGGATAAAAGGGGGGGGAAAAAAAATCAACGATTTTTGTCAATAACCAGTAGATGAGACACCTTAATCTTTGCAATAGGATAAGGACTATTAACCAATGATTCAGAAACTTACTTCCTTAGTAGCAACAATCAGCACACAAACAGATCATTGATACAAAAGGAATGTTTTGATCCAATTTTCATGATTTTTTTCATTTTGGATGCAGTAATAAATCACATAGTGACAGTTTTCATTATATTTATTTGTTATCAAGTTTCATTGTGAGGCTCTCACGGGCTAGCACAAAGCTTCTCGCAGACTAACTCTAGAGAAAATCACTTAAGAAAAAAACCTCCAAATAAACCCCTCTAGTCGCAAACCTTGCAGGTAAAGGTTTACACTCAGTTGAAACCATTGAGCTAAAATAAGTCCCAAACTTCAGAACAACATTCTGTCAAACCCAGGTTTTCTAGAAACACATTTTGGCGATGTCTAATGTACGCCAAGTAAGATTATGAGCTTTCATGCGTAGCTTTCTATACGTTAAATGAACAATTTGGTTCACTGTAAATGAACATTTACAGTCATGGGGTAGCACAGCAGTGTTAATACTCATTTTAATATAACTCCAAGCAGTGAGCGCTCACAGAGTGCCTTGTGCTTACATAGGACTCCTGTCTTATTTTAAAGTATAATGCATTTGTATATATTTTAAAGTATATTGAGTCCTTTTCAGCAAAAATGTTTTAATTTGATATCCAGCATTTCCCTTCTCTTTTTTGAATCAAGTGAAGTGTCAAGATGAAGATTACCTTAATCACGCCACTGGGTTGGGAGGGCTCTGACCATTTTAGCAGCAGAGCCCTGCCATTTTCTTTCTTTTCCACAGTGAAGTTGCTCAGGCCACTGGGTGAAGCTTCCAATGTGCGCACAGATGTCCAGGGGCTTGAAACCTGCCCGGCATTGTTTACAGCTACGACATGAATATGATATGTTGTGAAAGGTTTCAATCCAAATAAATGAGCCTGATGCTTTGTTCCCTGAAGCAAGAATACAGATGTTTGAGTTAGTTAAAAAAGTAATCAGCATCTGTAGTTTATGTCACTTGGAAAATGAGGTCTCGGCTTTGGGTCGCTTCTGACCGCTTTGCAGACTACCCCATCTAGCTACCAGGATTTTTTGGTGGGTTTCCATAGCTGAACCTCAAAAACAAACTCTTAGGCTTTTAAAAAATATCTATCATTATGGTAGAGCCTTTGGAGCTGACTCCTGGGGAGTCCTGCACAGTCCAAATCTCAGCTAGCAAACTTACAGTTTGTTCAGCATGTGTCTGAGCTTTGCTCAGTGAGGATGAGAGTGCCTGGTACTCTGAAGGATTCAAGCACATGTAAAAACCTCTGGTCTATGGGTGATGCCTGCCTCTACAGAATCCTTACACACCTCGTGTGTAGACGTGACATTTGATAGGCATGCTGTCCTGGTCTAGCTACTTAGAGCATTGTAATCGGGATAGACAACAGTGTTTCCAAGAGCACAGTTTCATTTCCTTACTGAAAACAAACTCCTTAAAAGCTCGGGAAGGAGTGAGTAAACTGGTTTCTATGTTCCTGCTTTGTAAAGCTGTCGCTTGAGATAAATTCACAAGGTAAGACAATTGTGGGGCAACCTGCTGCCTTACAAGAACCTCCCTGTTTCTCCAGGTTGGAGGAAGCGGCCATGCTGCTGATGGGGACACAGGCAAGCTGGCTAGACCCTCCCTGGCGCCAGACCCTCGCCTCACGCTGGCAGAGGGAGGCTAGGAGGAGCACGGCTGTTCGTGAGTCCCACCGGGCGCTGCCAAGGCTGGAAGGGCTGGGGCTGGCCTGCCACCACGCCAGACCGCAGCCCAGCACAGGGGCATGCGGGTGGGTGCAGGCCGAGGGACGTCAGCCATGGCCAGAAGGGGCCACTGGCATCGCGGCTCACGGCTTTATCCAGCTTACCCCAAACAGCGTCTGATACAGACCTGAAACCGCTTGGATATGAGGCAAAGCGAGCCTCAGCACAAACCCAGATCTAGGCAGGAAGGTGATACAGCCGTAGTATCATTTTGAACGCTCTCAAAAGATACAGTGGCTAACAAAGAACAGGAGTAACACGTTTCAGTAGGAGACAACTGTTCAGATTTGTCTCATCAGAAGAGCGAGGAAGAAAGGAGTTCAGCTGATCACCGATATATTTAATCTCATTTTTAGTTGTGCTTTTGCATTAATTATATAGATCTCAAGAAGGGGAGTGCGGGAATTCAGTTGCCTTCATGTGGCAGAAACAGCTGAAGTCAATTTCCCTGTTTCAGTAAGTCATATTAAGTTGTTAAATGCTAACACTTCCAATCGTTTAATATTTAAACATTTGTTAAGCTATCAGACTCAGAAACAAATTTTAAAGAAATATTAATTTCTTTTTTTAAATATTAAAAGTTAGATCACAAATATTTAAATAGTTATTTCCTCACAACAATGAGTTAGTCTTTTAGATAAATATAGCACAGCATTTGAATGACCATTATGAATATTAAATCTGAAGATGCCACAAGTACAGATTATAAACATACTTTTCTGATAAATGATTCCTTTTTCTGTTAAACAGGGCAAACACTAGCAAGATTAATAATGCAAAAAAGTATAATTCTTTGTTAGGAATTCCCGGTCATCACTGCCAAAAAAGCATAAGCTCAAATGCAAATAGCAATCACCTCGAACAGATTATATATAAAAAAGCTCTGGCTGCTGTGGGACATCTAGAGATATCTTTTGTCATAAGAAACATGGAAAGCATGTGGGCTATAAAGCAAAAACATATGTATATTGTCAATAGCAGCACCTGTTCAATTACAGTTTATTTCAGTATGGAGAATTTAGTTCAGCCCCTAGATGGCAATACTATCAAACACTTTTTGTAACATGAGTACTTAATGATTAACAATGTGCGTTCAGGCATCCAACATACTCAAGGCAGCCATTAAAAAAATAACAAAACTGATTTCATTATAGATTCTTTTAATAAACATTTATGGCTTAGATCCTTGAAAGTGGAAGCGTTCAAACTGCCATAGCCAAAAACCTATACAGCCGAATGCAAAATTATGAACTGCAGGTTAAAGAACAGAGCTCAAATTAAAGTTCATGCTTAGCATAAAAATCTGGCATCAGAAATTATGTTGGCACAAAACATGATTAAAATTAGCTTTACAATTGGATGTAGTCCGTATTAATAGTTTTTATGAGGACAGTTATCTATTAGGTTTTCAAAACAGAACTTTTAAAAGCCTAAAATTTACATTCTATGGTTTGGGGGTGGGGATGGAAGGAAGGGAGCACACAGCATTAAATTACTGCTCCAAACACAGAGGCTCTCCAAAGGTACAAACACATTATTACAAACATCGTACAAAAAGCAATGGCTCTGCTTTCTAATGGGCTGCATCATCAGGGTGGGCTTTTGTGACAGCAATGCTACAAAACACTTGATTTCTTTTTTTAACCAGAAAACTGGCATATTTTTCATCACCCTCTACCATTTTCCCCCTAAACCCCAAGATTTAATTCTTTACAATCCTCACCACACTTTGAAATGAAACAAGGATGGAGGGATTTCCTTGCCTGCAGTTCATCATGTTCTCTGGAGACTGCTAAACCATTCCTTCCAGGGATGACTTTTATCCCTGGCTCCTACAGATACTTCTTGAAGAGCAAATGGTTTACATGTATTTTTGTTTGGTTTGGTTTTGAAGTAAGCTCAGGGGACGTACTCCCAGAATACGGAGCCACGTTTTCTCCCCCTGCACTGCTGCCGTTGCCATTTATGAATTTGCTCAGCTCAAAGGCTGATGCTGAAAAGAGGATGGATGGCAGCCTCAGTGATTCATTTTAAGAATTACTTTATGTCCTCCCATGACATTTTTGGCCTAGAAATACTGTCCTGCTGGAATGGTCAAATATGAATAGCAAAATACACCTTGCAAAGGATAGCACTATAACCTTTGGCTTCAGCAGACAACGACACAGCCTTAAACAGGTGCAGGATCAAAATCATTGCCTGGAATATTCTCCCAGTCTTTGTCTGCAAAGCCATGAACTCATATAGCCTATGTTTACACACTGCTAACAGTTCAGATTTCATTCACCATTAAAAGCAAACCAACAAAATAAAATTTTAATGCAAACATTAAGATGTTCGTAGACTGACTGACCATGAAATCTGAGGGACTACAAGCCCATGCCCTCCTTTCTCCGTCTCCTACTGCGAAACATTCTCACTCATTCAGTCATTAAATTATGAATAATCCAGCAAACATTTAAATGTGTGCACTCTCACATTCCTCCTATAAGGCCCGTCCTTTCAATGTAAACACTAGAGAAACGGACACCTGAGGCAAGCTGTGATGAGCCACCGTGGTCTGATCCCCGCACCGCAGCCCAGAGCTCAGCCTTTGACACGGCCCTTGCTTTTGGCAGCCCCGTCCCCTTCCCTTGAGCAACACTGGCAGCACCACCGCTACTCCAGGCAGGACCGTGCCTTTGTTTTTGCTGTGTAAAATGCTTGACGCACTGCACTTCACGCAGCACAAGCTGTTAACAGCAACAAATAAATTCCTCGGCTAATTCCACTCTTCTAACTGTAAATTAGGATAAAAGTTATTTAAAAGAAAACCTTGTTTTAACACATTTTTCAAAACATAAACCGAGAGAACATGAGTCATGAATAATGTATCTGTCAAGATTTGCTTCAGATTGCCTTTTTTGTTTGTTTATTTTTTAATTCATGAGCACAGAAGTCACTTAAAGTCTGGAAACAAATTAGCATAGTCTTTCATGCCGTTCAAAGGCAGCGGCATCCATAATGCAAGGTGCCTGCCTTCTTCGCTACCTCTTGGTCCTCTTCCTGGGCACGGGCAAGGCTGCGCAGCCTTCAAGGGTCTGATGATTTTACACTGCCTACTGTGATTGCTTTTGACCACTTGAAGTGCCCCTAAGGTGGCAACAGGGTCAAGAGGTCTTTGTAGGTTGAAAATGATCAAAAATTAGCATTGATCTGTAGCTGTCAATAGTAGTCTGAGCGGGTGGACTCCCTGCACAAATGTTTAAACTGCATACAACTACACAACCTAGTCATCTTTGAATCTATCGATCTGATGAAGCAGCACTTTCCAGTGGTGTCACTCTGGGCTTTTCCTCTTTTTTCAAGGCAGGCCAGCTTACCCAGTTGCCCAGGTCTCAGGGCATCAGTTCAAAATGTGACAGATACATCAGAAGATCTCTGAACCACTGAAGAGCTGCCCAACAGGCAGCCTGAGTATTTGTCCCTTCTTCAGGGGGAATCATCAAAATTCAGCAAGTCGTCACCACTCATGTTAAGGTTAGGCTCTGGTTTTTTTCTCTCTCCCTATCTTCTCTTTGTACAGTAATCCCTATTTGGCAGGTATCTTCGATAACTGATTAAAAAGCTAGCTCATTCTTTCTGTGAGTCTCTAACTAAACTCAGTGGCATCAGACACTACCACACTGCTAATGGTAGCAGTGCTACAGGGATCCAAACCTGTTCTTTCATAACTCCCAGGCATAAATGGTGGGAAGGTAATTCACTATGACATTCCCTTGTCTACAGAAGCAGAGATGCTGAGCTCTCCCTGGACGAGGGAGGAGAAAGCTACGGTCTCCTGGCAGTCAGAACGTTAATCCGACCATCCTCCAATGCCAATTTTCAAATTCTCCATCAAGGAAGTCAAACAGATTCCTCCACAAGTGACAGAAGTGATGGGGAATGCTTGGGGTTTTACTAAGATACTCAGTTTATCCTCACCGTTGTCGTTACTCTCTTATCCAGTTCCCCATCTAATCCAGATTCTTTGTCCTTTTCTGCAAAGCACTGGGCGTGGTTTCACCTTGACTCTGATGTTCACTCTTCTTTCCCAGCCTAATTCTTAGCCCCCACCTTCACTCTAAAAATTGCACTGAGCACATACTCATAGGCAATCTCTAACTTGTCCTTTGGGTTGCCT